GCTCCCTCTTTTTCTTCCTTGGCACTACTGAAATTGTAGGTTGTAACTGTGGTTAGCAAATTACAGCATTAAAAATGCTGCTGTCACTTCTGGGAGGTACCCTGTATCTTTGAGATAAAAGCCTTCAGCTGGAGGTTGAAATGCTCTAGTCATGATAGCAATTAACAGCGATGCTTGGTAAAAGGAAGAGTTCTTCCACAGTACACCACGTCCAGCAGTCCTCTGAAGATATGCAGGAATACCTTCTTTTCATCTTGATACTGGGCACTTTCTTCAGTTCACTGGAAGCAAAATTATCAGTGTCAAGCATCAGAATTCACTTTCTCTGGTCTCTGTGTAATGATGCTGTTGGTACAATAGTGATGTTTGCTTGGCCCAGAGGGGAAAGACTGACTCCAACTTTGTTAGTGGCAAAGGATATGCATTCTAGCAAATGCAGTGGGGTAATTTGGTTTTCCCAGAGAGTTTTTTGTGTTGTTTTGTTCTTGTAAAAAAACACTAACATAGAGTCTTTGGCCATGTGGCAGTTAAGAGCTTTGACAAAATAATAATCTGTGTATACGCATCCCATCGTGTATCTCAGTACTTTATTACAGTTCCTTATGTAGGAGAGTATTAGTGCATCTTACAAGAGTTTATTATCACAAAAGTTTATTAATGGGACCCAAGGCAAAAGCATGACATAGATACCGAAAAGTTTGAAGAATGCCAAATGCACTTCTTTAATCATCAACCAATCCAAACATACCTACTAGGGCTCTGACTGGGTAGTTCAGCTTGAAAGATACCCAATCTAGTCCTAGATGAGCTTGTTTTGAAAAGAGGAGACAGCCTTGCGTGCCAGAAAAGTGCAGACTAAGTCCATCCTCTTTAGCCAGGGTCTCGTGGACCAACTGGACAGTAGCTTGATTCAGTAACACTGAGCACTGGCACATATGGTGGACCCTACTATTGCTGCAGAAGTGATCAATTTGCGGAAACAAAGTTGATGTTAGAGGAAATATGCAGTTGTTCTTCAAAGGAAAAGACTCTCCTGCTCCTTTCAGTGCAAGTGACTGGGGGAACCCACAGCATGACCAGGCATTTGCACAGTGCTGCGACTTGGTTCTAGTCTCAGTCCCATCAACCTGAATCCCTGTGATCACTAAGGAGTCCCTTAAGCAGATTTCTTCCCTGAGAGGTACAGTAGCTCAGCCTCATTCAATTCCAGTAATCCTGAGGCTGGTCAACTTCTGAATACTTAAGCAGCAGCATTTAATTATATTGAACTCAAATCTACTCGATGTGTAGATGGTAAATCTCATTCTGGTCCTGTTGGGATGCTGTGGTGCTTCTCCATTTCGATAGCTTAATTAGGAAAATTGAACTGTACCACTAAAGTTATGTTTGCATGACTTAAGTGGTACAGTTTTGCAGTAAAGCCTCCAGTTGCAGTCAGCAAGATATGTGTGTGTGTACACATGTGATTTAAAGAATGCTGAATGAGCAGAATGCTGCTTCATTCAAACTCTTTCTGGAGTTTGAATGAAGCAGAGATGCAAGGTTCCTAATGCCAATGGTGTGGGGACGTTGTTCAGTTGGGCACGGTCTATTACAGACTTACAGGATACCTCCATTTAGGAGGAAGCATTTCCAGGTATTTGGCAAGATACAATCTTAGCCAAAAACGTAATGTTTCTTAAATGCTAATACTTTGATGTTATTGTTCTGTATAAGTGTATTTCTTTATTTTTCTGGCCGTCTTCTGCCAAGCAGCCTACATAGCTGTCTTGCATCTTTCCTGGAGACATTTTGCAAGCAAACAGTAAACTCAGAGTGTACTGTCTCTTTATCAAAGGAAGTATTTTACATAATTTACCAATAAATGCTATATCAACATACAACAAACATCCTATAATCTGTTGCTCAGTCTCAGAAAGAATGGAGTACTCTCAGCTCCTCCTAAAGTAAATGAGAGGTGAGAGCATCCAACATACAGAGGAGTTCTTTGTGACGGATTCCAGGAGAGATATGAAGTAATCAGCTTTCGGCAAAATGCTGATGGTTTCTCTACTCTTGAGAAGCTGGTACTGTTCCTGTCTCTCAGCTTCTTCATTTCTTATGTGATTGGGCAGTAAGGAGGAGAAGCCCCAGTGGTCTGTTTTGTCAGGAGGCAGGTCTATTTTTTGGACTAGTTTGTACTGATGCTAGTTGGCACAATCTTCATGCAATTTACAGCCATTGGGAATAGCTGGAGTGGTCTATGCTGTGATTATGTGGCTTAAAGAGCCATGATAGAAGTTTCTTTCCATCTGGAAATTTCCTCATGACATAATAGTACAAAGGGGCAAGCACCTCAATTATGTGCCAGAAGTTCTGGCATAGGGTACAAGAATCCCCGAAAAGCCCTGCTTATTTACTTTCCCATATGATTAAAAAAAAATGCTGGTAGGTAAGTGCCATGTAGTTGAGGAGTTTTTATCACAATCAGTCATAATTAAAGGAAAATAAAGTTATCACTGTGCCTGCACTGTTAATTTCTTATGGCAGTTTTCCAAAGTGATTTATAGTTATTGTGTGGAACACTTTATATAGGTAGTGCCATTCTTTATATGAGCGGGGTTGTTAAGTCTTATTTCTTGACCTGTTTCCAACTTGGGTGGTTATGCTTTGCCTGCCCAATTTCTCCTCTGTGACTTAAGATAAATATGCTATTCTGTCTTGTGTCATGCTATTGTGTTCTCTTTAAGCCATTGTAGGGGTATCAGTCTTTAACCAGTCAGTTATTTTTCTTTTAGCTATGTTGGATGAAATGCAGTTGCAAACACAATGAATAATTAGTATCATTCACTAATTATCACAGAGGTTCCACAAAACTATTCAAAGGGAAACTGAGTGATATACTTGGAGAAAGTTTTAAGGGCTCCTGGGTTTCTGAAGTGAGGTGTTCAGTCACTTCTAGTCACAAAATTTATTAATCATCTGAGGAAGGACTTGATGAATTGTTTTCACAGAGGCAGATTTTGAGCTTATTCTTTAATGAATCTTCTTCAGTTAAGTTGCAGCTGAAGGAGCCCTGAGATAGAGTTTCTGGATCGCCCGACTGACCACGGACAGTTGCCAAACAAGGACTTCAGTGACTGTACTTTTAGAGGAAAATGGATGATGTTCTATCTCCAAAGAACTGATTATATTAGTGTTGCTCTCCTGCCTTATTCTAGTGAAGGTCTGAAATTCCTTTCCTGAGTTGTTACGAGTCTTGAGTTAGATCTCCTCCTCTGAAGTGTGTCTCAGTGCCCATGTATGGAAGAATATTTCTCCTGTGATCACAACAAATGCTTAGCTTGCAAAGGAGAGAGCATTTTCCTAGAAGGAGAAAATAACATAGGAGACAATTTTCAAAAGCACTGAAACCAAAGTAACCTAGACTGCTTTATGCCTTTAGGTACTTTTAAATTGAAAATTTAAATTCATAAATCGTTTTAGTGTCCCTGAAAATGTTAACCGCTGCCTGCTTCTTTAATGATATTTTGTCTGTTCAAGAGATAAGTGTTTGTGAAATGTAAAGAAAAGGGGGCTGTTGTATTAATGACACCACCGTGTGAATGAGATTCTATTAGAGCACCCAGCAACTTCCCAAATTCTTGAACTTCAAAGGAGACCTCAAGATAAAATGATGTTTGTATGTATGAGAGCTTTTAGAATGCATAAAATATCAATATGCACTAGAGCTGCTCTATGCATAATGCACATTCCGGTGCGAAAATGATGGTCTGCCTGCTTCATTTGCAGATAACTACCTGTAGTACTGTCAAAGCCAGACCTGCGCTCAAAATGTTCAATTTAAAGTCTCTGAGTATTCAGTTGTATAGGGTTTGTGTTTTGGCGTGGAGGAGAAATTGCTCTCTAGAGAGAAGGGAAGTTTGTGAGAAAGCTTGAGAAAACACTTGACCGGGTCAGAACATGATAGGTCTTGATAGGACTTCCCTCTAAGGGATACAGCTACTGCTCTGACTGTTGTAAACTAAAAATTACCACAGCATTGCCAGGAAAATATCAATATTTGCCCACATGGCACCACATGCTTCTCTCTGAGGTATGTGAACCTGTGTTACAGATGGGAAATAAATGTTAATAGCACATTGTAACAATGCTTAGTGAGCACTAACAGTATTTATGGTGACAGTAAGGAGTCATACATACATGCAGGGGGTTAAAACACGAGTTTAGAAGTCACCGAATGGACCTTTGTAGTCTTGCGAGTAAGCTCCGGAAAGTGATAGTCTGCAGCTGTGAGTATTCACAAAAATGCCCAGATGGCACACTGGTGCATCTCAACCTACGTTAATCTTTGCCTGTAAGGAAACAGGTAGAGAACCATGCAATCAAAGGAGAGAACGTCAGAAAGAACATACAGAAACACTTGCTGTGGTTATGTGAAAGCCAACCACAGGCTCTGTTTACAAACCTTTCCATCTGTTGCTTTGCCTAATCATTTCTGCTTTCCCTCTCTGTCTTCTAACTTTCCTTCGTCTTTCCAGATGCAGGACGCTATGGGCTATGAGTTACCATGGGTGTATTTTGTCAGTCTGGTCATCTTTGGATCCTTTTTCGTTCTAAATCTGGTTCTTGGTGTGTTGAGCGGGTAAGCCAACAGTTTTGGTGTCCTTTTTCCAATGCTACAGGGCAAGACTCCATAATAAGGGTTCTTCCCTGTCACCAGGATTCTTTCTGAGGGATTAAAAATCTAAATCCAAGAAAGTTTTCACATCAACTCGAAAGTACTTTTACAAAATATTAAAACTTTGCAAATGAAAATACAGGTGACAGAAGAAATTATTCTCTAGCAAAGAAATTCAACCTGTGCGCATCCAAAATTGCTAATGCCAACCTTTCATAAATTTTCATTTAAAAAAGACTGTTGAAATCCTTACTGCTGGTGACTTGGGATCTCTTTGGCTGGAGCCTTGCAGTGCTCAGAAACTGAGCTTGTCTCACTAATTATCATTCCACTCTTCCAGGTCAATGATGCCATAGGAAGGGACTGGCCCTGGATCTATTTTGTTACACTAATCATCATAGGGTCATTTTTTGTACTTAACTTGGTTCTCGGTGTACTTAGCGGGTAAGCAGTACCAGGAAAATGTTTTATTATTGTTTATTTTTTAAAAATTGTATTTCTATTCCTACTCTCTGGTTACCAAAACAGTGGGCAGTGGTGGGATTATCTCAGGAACCTTTAATAGAACACTTGGGTTATTGCTGTGCAAATGGCAAACTACAGCACTCCAAACAGCATGGAAGGAGCCTCTGGAGTAAACCAAAGGAATACAAGACAACTCTTTGCTTTTAACATATTCCTTCACCTTAAGTCTCTACTGATGCTCTGTGGAAAGAGCACAACACTATATACTCCCCATAAAACTGGCTATAGGTGAAACATACTATTCACCATAGAAGGGGATTGCTGTAAAATCTCTAGTAGAGTCAAGAGGACTGAAGGAACAAATAGAGCACATCAGGCAAATCCCTTCATACTTGCGGGATGAGATTCCTGCCAAATTATGTCTTCTCACATGAGAAGTTTCCACATTGCTTAATATCTCCAAAGCACAGTCTGATGGGAGACTCTTTTCTCTAGAGAGAGTCTTGGATATGTTTCTTCTTCAATAAGCACATCTTCTCTGTTGTGCAGATTACAAGCTTAGGCATGATGCAAGGAGAAAAGATCATTTCCCTCTGACCTAAGGATGAATACAGAAGCAGGAGCATTGCTTCTAGTGTTTAACCATTCCTAGGACATCTAGACATCTAGCTGTGCTTCAGTTCTGCAGTGTAACCCTCACTGCAAGGCATCGCTTTGGTAGCTTTTGTTAAAAACACTGGATACTGTTCCCAGTAGTTAAAAACTTTATTGTCCTTGGGGAGCAAGATAATTGGAAAAATCAACCCAACAAACATTCCTTGCAAGATTTTTCTTTTTAAAGTTCTGCTAAAATTAGGCTTCTAATTCCATATTAGAGCATTAATAGATGGTTAAAGCCATTCTACATAGATGCATATATATGCTGTGAGGATTTTTTGTGCATCCTTTTTTGTTTGTTCCTAATGTCCTGCCTCCTCTAATGAGCTCCAGATCAATTTGATCAAAGACTTTATCTGTTGGCTGGGTAGGCAGACCTGAAGTCTCCCATATTTTGATCATAAGAGAGGATTTGATGCCTCACAGAAATTATATCGCTCAGTACTTGGGTCAATAAAATAGGAAGGGCACTAGTAGGACCAGAGAAGATCCTCCACTGATCATCCTGCAAAGAGACAGGTAATAGTGAATCTACAGTAGGTTTACTATTGTCATTGGTACTGTATTGGAGTAGACATGCAGCTAAGACATCTGCTGCATAGAGAAGGGTGTCCAAAGAGAACATGGAGAGAGAAAAAATCGCCAGAATGAAATGTCAGGCGGTAGCCTGTGTTGGATATCTGGAGAGTGATACTCAAGATACAATTTTAAAACAAGCTCCTCTGTGCTTCACATGGATACTCTAACCACCAGTTGAAGACATCAGCAATAGCCAAGGATGACAACCACTCAAAAGTGAATAAGCAGTTTGTCATGTCAGAGATGCAATCAAGGACACACACAACTGGTTAAAGATTATATAGTACCTGATTGGATAAACAGTGCCTGTGAGCACGGCTGTTAGGAGTGTCTACTATTGAAGCAGGGTTGATTCACCTTACCAACTCTTGTATTTGTGTCGGTACCCAACTGAAATTTCAATTTCCTCTCTCACACATTTTTCAACTCAATAAAATGTTTTGGGACAGGATCCCCCATCTTCTGAGATACTGCAGCTAGACTTCACTACAGCTTGTGTTGAGAGATGGAAATAGTCAGTAGAGAGGACTGAAATCAAACATGCAGTTCACCTTGTTTAAGCTGTGAGTCACTCTTCCTGGCTACGTTCACAGTATTATGACAGCTGCACTGTTCAATTTCTTTCCCAACTGGAGAAAAGTAAAAAGAAACTTCAGAATCTGCATCCATGAAAAAAACAAAGAAATGATGGGAGAAATGTTCCAAATTTTATTTGGGCTAAGTAAGCAGTCCTTAAACAATTAACTTTCTAAAGCAGTTCTAAATTTTGCTGAATTGCAAAGTGTCTTTGCAGATTCAGCTTTTTCTTATAGACTTCCTTTTGCTATAAGTTTGTTCTGTGTAGCTAACCCACTGATTTGTTCTATGTAGATCCAAAGCAATATTCCTGGTCATCTTCATAGCTCCATTCTGAGCATCTCTGATTTCTCCCTATGTATTTATTTCAGAAACTTCATCAAACATGTCTTGTAGGGTTTCATCCTTGATAGATAAGGGTCGTTTTTTTAATCACTTCTGAATACACAAGTGTAATTAGTTGTACTCAACAAGATGTTTTGATCACACCTACACTTTTTCCATCTGCACAGTTAAATGCAAGTTCTGTTCTGCCTAAATATCACACCTATAGTTTGTTTTCCCTTAAGTGTTTCACCCATTCATAGTCATTTTGGTGAATTTAATAGCCACATGCTAAGCTAAATAATCTCAAAGAGTATTCATATGTCTTCGCATCTCCACTGAGTCCAACATATAATTCAAGTATTCCAAAGGATGTATCCAGTCAATGGGCTGCACAGTAGATGTCCTTAAGCCCAGGCAAAAAAGATTTGACATTATTGTGAGTGAAGCCATTGTCTTCACCCTGGAGAGGTCTTTAGAGATCAGAGATGTTTGTATGTGTGTTATCTGTTTCGGTCAATTAGTGAAGAAATTAATGACAGTATTGCTCAAATATCTTGCTGAGCAGTAATCCAAATCCCAGGACATAGGCCAAGCAAGCGGTTTCCGAGGGCAAGAGAACAGTCATATCTTTTTGCTCCGCTGGAAAACCCATTTGGCTGCTTCTGCCGTTCCTTCTGCCAAGGAAGAGGTCAGAGTGAATGACTGTAGCTCCTCCTGGGAACAGCCAGGGCAGTATTTCTGACCTTTTGGACTCTTCCCCAATCTTCTATTCCCTCTTCCAACCCATCTCATTCCTTGCTATAGCTGTCAGGAGGGATGAGGTTAAAAGCCCTGTGCCAGTCCTTAAGCAGTAAGCAAGATCTTCTATTTTGCTCACTTCCTATCACTTCTCAAAATGACAATAATCATAGAGAAATGAGATAGAGCCAAGCATTATCCATATTCTATTATCAGGATGGGCAAGAGAAGTTTTCTTCTGAATCTACACAGCATATAGAACTGTGTTTATAGATCTATGATCTTGACCCACTCTAACTTCACTAAGAAAACTTCTCTCCAGAATATTCTACTTTTTGGTATTGTTCACGTTGGCAGATGTATCTTAGAGTTTTCTGGGAGAAGAGAGGGAAAGTGAAGCAAGCTGTATTCTAGTAAAAACAACCCAATTCACAGTCTCTTAAACTGATGTTTTCCAGCCCAATGTACTGAGATAGGTAGCTTGGTGGCTCTGCAAGCCTCTGTTGTCTGCAAGCCCTGACATGACCGTGCAATCTCTTTTTGAGAAGGCCACCTCCAGGCTCAAGATGACAATTCCATCAGAAAACTTTGGTCCTTGGCCTCCCTGTTGAAACTGCAAACAAGGAATGTTTATTGCCAACTGTGGTGGTGGCAGAGGTAAGGTGCACCCCTGCCTGCAGTAGGAACTGCATGTTGGTCACCAACTCATTACACACAGGCTAGTAAATGACCACTCACTGATAGTAATTCTTGGTTGCAAACTGCATTCACCTAAATACAGTCTGGTATTTCACGTTGGAAGTTTTGAATTACATTAGCAATTTCCTGAGCCATGGTTTTCAGTGGTATAATGTTAGTAGAGCATGGAAATTAAGACTATTTAAAGAAATTGTCTTCTTCGGAGAGTCATCTGAGATATGGGGTACCACAGATTGTACAAGGGGAGAGACATGCAAATGGGTATCTTTTAGACTGGGGAATCACAGTATTTTCAACTGTGCCATTAGGAGTTGGTAACAAATTCACTCTTATGCAGACAGCCGGTGTGTAAATACACAGTGCAAAAAAACCTCACATTATTTTTGTCAGTTCTCCTGCCCCATCCAGTCCTCTTTGAGACAGACAGTAAGTGGGGCTTGAAAAGACCGAAGTAGATATTCAGCTTAAATGAATCTAATGTGCACTTAATCTTCAGTGCACAGTAGGAATTTCACTTTCTGTGAGCTGGGCCATGCCATGCTGTTTTTCACACTTCACTGTTTCAGGCTTCCCCTTCCAGTAATACCCTTGCAAATATAAATAGTTCTCACTTGGGATTGAGGGCCCAGACCCTTTTAAAATCATACCTATTTCTTATTGGCTTCTTATTTAATTTATCAAATAGGGTTAATAATACATAGCCTCGTTTAATGATTTTTTTGTAAATTAATTCATCAGTTTGGCTAAGGCACTTAGAGAGGCCTAGAGGAAAGATGTTTTTGAAACAGAAAATATAAATTGGATTTTTCAAAAACCTTTCTTTTGTTTCATTTTTTATGTTTGTTGTTGTTTATATATATTTTAAACAGCAAGACAGCAAGTGGCTCCCAGCAAGAAAAAAAAAAATCTTTCGTGCCATGTTTGCAATAGCTGTTTCTTTCTTGTGGCCAAGTTTCTTCATGCTTGAGAAGTCAGTGATTCGCTGCTTCATTTCCACTCTCGTTATCACAGTTTTGTGGGACAGGCTTGAAACTATAGCCGTGTGTTAGAAGTTAGGATTACACAGGCATCCTTTGTCACATATTGTGGCTTGAAATGAAGAGCTATGCCTACTTTCATTCTTCTGCAGTGCTGGTGTTGTGCCCAGCTTATAATATAGGAAGTCTGGTCCAGGGCGTATGAAGTCAGCGGAAATCTTTCAGTGTATTTTGGCCCAAACAAGAGGGAAATACTTTACCCTCCGTAACAGAAAATCATCTTCATCTTGGTTGCTGAAGACACTTGAGCAGCTCACATTAGCATTTTTGGGTAGGGTTTTTATAGTCTTAGCATTACTCTTGTCAAAGTACTGGAAGGTTTCCTGCTACCTTTTGCATGAGCAATTATAAAGCAAAAATTAGTGGGAGGGTTGGAAACACCACTCCTTCCTAATAGTCACCAGCTAGGGAATGGAAGTTGTATTGGAGAGAATGAGCTTGCCTCTCATTTCTAGGCATAGTACGCCATATCATATGCTGTACATGCCTTGTGTAGCAATTGGCTTCAGCAGATGTAGGATTTAATGCTTAAGTGCTCTTGATGCAGAACTTTTCACAATCATTAAGTACACTTTTTAAACTACAAACATTAAAACCTGGTATCGAACCACAGGAGAGTCTCTAAGTAGAGGCAGCTCGCATTTATAGAAAAAAGTAATCCTCTGTACTAGTCTCTGACAGAAGAAGATACAGCCTACAGCCTCCAAAAGGAGACAAATTAGGCACCTTGAATCATAACTAAGCAACATAAAATTCTTCTTCCTACACTTTCTGTCTAAACTTATATTCCCAATAAGTGTCTTTCATCAAGCCACCAAGTTCACTTTCTGGTAGAGTTCAATATTGCTCATATTTCTCTCCCTAACTTTAGGTTTGAAAAATATTTTTAAATTGAGATAACAGGCCTGAATACTGAAAATCTGCAGTAAAACATTGAAGTCTGAATTTTAAAATATACTGTCCGGTACTGTGGGTGAAATTACTTGTAATTAAATGTGTACAGAACTGTGGGTACCATTAATTACACTTGCAATTAACCTAGTTTACTTGTGATTACACCTGTAATCATAAGGTCAGATTGAGAACTGGCTAAAATTAGAGCCACCGTCTCACTCTCCAGATGTCTGATTATTGTCAAACGATTGATCGTTGAATTAAATTAATTATTTATATAGATATTTGCAGATAATTGTTGGAGATACTCAAGTTGTAAAGGATATTAGGAAGTGAATGGTATTCTTCATAAATGTTATATATGAGTTTTGTTTGAATCACCAGTCACACATTGAGAATGATAGCATTAAAAAAGGTGCTTATCTTTAAGTGCTAGTAAAAATGCAGACACTCCAGCTGTTTTACCTGTCTGTCTAGCAAGAATGCTCCATATGTGTGTGACTTACTTTGAAAGAATAGAGAAAGTTGGTGGTGCTGCACATGAAGAGGAGTCTTTCTAGTGGAAATCCATCTAACACATTGTTTTTCAATCTCTTCCTCTCTTTCCGCCCATATCCTATCCCTCCCTCCCTCTTGCTAGGGAGTTTTCCAAAGAAAGAGAGAAGGCTAAGGCTCGTGGTGATTTCCAGAAATTGCGGGAAAAGCAACAGCTAGAGGAGGATTTGAAGGGATACTTAGACTGGATAACACAAGCAGAAGATATTGATCCAGAAAATGAAGATGAAGGCATGGATGAGGAGAAGCCTCGAAACAGTAAGCAATTTTCTTCTGTCTCTCTTTCTTACCGTGCTTTTAGCAAGGGAGCTCATGTCCATGTGATCTAGTGCTGAGACTGCTTACTAGACAGAACAAGTTCTTCCTGGGACTCTCACTGTCCTTAAGCATGATCCCCATAGTGCCTTTAGGAAACTGTGGGAGTGGGAGGGTGAAATAGGCACAAAATAATTGATATTGTTTTGCAGGTACTCAGTTTCTTGTCTGTAATAGTGACATTAGATACTGCTACTAAATAGAAAAAAAAAAGATCAATACTTGCTCTTAGAAGTCTGCTGCTGGGATAAGTTTTAAAATATACATCTGTCTCCTATTCATTTATTTAATTGCAGTTCAGTGTTGAATGCTGTTGACACATGGTTAATTACTTTGAAAGCAAAGGTTTCTAGGCAAAGCAATACTACAGTGTGGGAGAAAGGCCAAATCAACCCTGTTGTACATTAAGTGGGCCATCTGTAACTCCACTGAAATCAGTGGAATTGCATTTGCTTTTGCCAGATTGGAATTAAGCTCTCAGAGATTTCTTGTAAGGGAATTATCTCTTATTCTTCTTTTCTGGAGTTGTTTGTGCAAAGTGAGAAATCACCAACTGTCTCTACTAATCAGAAATGCTGAAGAAGGAAGCCTTTGAAGAAAGCAGCAATTCCCTACATGCCACTACCTTCCTTGAATCTTCTTCCTCTCCCTTCTCTTTTACCAACACAGTGTGTGCATCACTTCAGAAACACCTAGCAATTAACACTGCAGGTCATACAGTCTAGAAGTGTCAGAGTTGGAACCTTCAGATGGCTACACAGTTCATAGCCACTGGCATTACTCTTAGTTTTCATTGCTGACATATGCATCATATGCATTTGAGTCTGGAAGAGATGATGTGAAGCATTTCCCTAGAGAGTACCCTTCAAACCAAATAAACAAAATCTGTAGGATGATCTCATTAGAATCATATATTCCATCAATATCTTAAAGTTGTGTCAGCAGTAGAAAGTAAGATTTACATCAGAAGCTTGTGATTTGGGTGGAGGGCAGGAATAAGCACTGCTCCCTGGAGGTGCATGAACACTTAAGTTCTTGTTTTAGAAAAAAAAAACACAGGGTCTTTAATATCAAATTATTTTATCTAGATGTCTGGATTTGTTATCAGGATTTGAGGGAGTAAGCAGAGTTACTAAGTGCTCAGACTTTCCCCAGATCAGGTTGTTTTAATTTTGTAATTTTTTATTTTGTGTAAGCCTACATAGGGCTTACTGCTTAATTTGAGAAGGGGACTCAGGAATGACTTGGTGATTAATTCACTCTTCATGGCCAGAATTTGCTGAGCTGGGATCTATACATGGAAGGGTCTGATAATCTTATTTCAGTTCTTTGTAGACAGCACTCCATGTTAAAAAAAAAAAAATCTCTGTAATGAGCTCTGATTGGTGTCCTTATATGAGATCTGGGGTGGGGAGACCAATGCCTGAACTGATACACAGCTTCAGGTACCAGAAGGTTTTCCCTTGACTTCAGTGGAAATAGGGTCATGTTTATCATGACCTGCCTTCTTTTCCTAGAGGTGGTCTGTCAAAGGAACATATAGCCACACTGGTGAAAACCTGCCTTGGCTGTTTGCTGGTTTTAGTTTTTGTTTTTAACATGAATATAATGCTGCTTCAGTAAGAGCTTTGCAGTAAGCCAGATGTAGTTTCATTGCAGTTGCCTTGGGAGGCAATCCAAATTTGAGCTAACAAACCCCATTTATAGGTGGCAATGTTTAAAACTGAACAATAATATATCTTCAGCTTGCTTTCACTTCTTCATATTCAGTTTAATTAAGTTAGTTTTGTAATACATGGTTTATAAGAATCAGTCCTGTTACATCTCACAGCTTCTCTAGAGTTTGTCTTGCTGTTCTGTTAATGACAGCATTACATGCTAATAGCAAGCTAACATGTTACGCATTTTTTTTCCAAGCCATTAATGAATGCACTTTCTTGGTGCCAAATATCAAGTCCAAGGGCAATGGTTGTTAATCAATCCCTGCTACAAAAATACTGTTCTCCCTGACGCTCTGGTTTTGGGTCAGTTTTTGTTACGTGACAGGCTAAGCTTGGGAGCAGATGTCAGCTGTGCCTGTGCTGTAGAGTACAATTGCATGTCTGTTGAGAAGAATCACTCAGGATGTGATGGAAGGCTGTGGACTGATGCTGGCCAGGTACTGGGGACAGCAGTCATGCTAAGAAAAGTCTCTGCAGAACAGAATAGACCAGGCAACCAGATCACTCCATGAAGCATATTTTTCTATTCCTCTGATATGTACGCCCCTATCTAAAAGAGGCTGCTAATAGCAGTATTCTTAATATCTGTGGCTTGCATCTAAGAATATCAAATTAATCTTTCTTCTGGCTTTGGCATACTATTTAGTGATTTATCTGGGCCTCCTTCCTGCCACAAGGTTTTTTGGCTATGGAAGTAAAGGGGCACTGTACTGTCTTCCTCTGCTGAGTTAGTAAGTAGCTTCTGGATCAAAATGGTAAATTGTTAGTGCTACTAAAGCACTGCTGTCTGCATGAGCAGTAGCCCCCACCCTGCCCAAAGCCCATGAGAATACTTGGATGCACTCAGGAGAGTTGCTTTCTGGCCTTCTGGCCTTCATAAAGCACAACTTTTTCTTTCCAACAACAGTACAACAGTAGGCTGTTGTATTTACTCATGCACAGTGGCAGGTGCCATATTGTTCAAGCCCTATTGTATTTCTTGATAGTTCTAAGCTTCAAACTTTATTCACATGACAAGTGATACTGCATTTTCAAAGCCTAATAGCAGCACCCTATCCTAAAACATAGTACTCATTTCACTGGCTTACAACCTTGTCTCTCATGTATACTACATGGGAAGAAAATGCTAGTATACTTATTGTCACAACCTATATACACATCATATATATCCTGCTGCCTGCAAAATACCTTCTACAAAGTCACCTCAAGCCACTTCTGTGCTGCAGACCAGCTTTTGCCTGGTACCCACCAATATCAGAGCAACTCTAAAAACTCCTTTCTGTTCTCCTGAAGCTAAGTCACATTCCAGGTATACTGCTCATGAAGTGTGATGGATCTGCTAGAAAATTAGTTGAAAGAACACTGTGTAGCAAGATCAAACAGAGGTACTTTTCTTAATGGCATGAGCTGAAGATAATGCCATATAAAAAATACCCTGAGTGAGTGATGGGTTGGAGGGTAAAGGGGAGGAGAGCAGAGGTTGTGTGTGTGCTGTCCACTATGTTGAATATTACAGCATTCATGACAGTGTTCAGTCACTAGGAGTCTTAGACTGAGGGAGAAAGATGGTATTAATTATCTTCATCCAGGCCATCTACAAGATAAGCTCCAACTATATGGGACAGATGGCACAGCAATTAAGACACAATTGTAAATGCCCACAGGAATCGCTTAAGCTTGATTCCCTCCAGCACAATTGACTCCCACCTGCTAGTCGTGCCTGGCTTCTTGGCATTGTGGCTGAGGCTCCACATCCTCCTTTTCTTCTCGTGTTTAGCCCTCCCCGAAGGGATCAGATGTTCAGCCAATTTTAATCACACACACAGAATCACACAGAATGGTTGAGGTTAGAAGGGACCTCTAGAGATCACCTAGTCCAACCTCCCTCCTCCAGCAGGGACACCTAGAGCACATGGCACAGGGTGGCACCCAGGTGGGTTTGGAAGATCTCCAGAGAAGGAGACTCCACAACCTCTCTGGGCAGCCTGTTCCAGGGCTCTGTCACCCTCACAGTAAAGTTCTTCCTCACATGGAGCTGGGACTTCCTGTTTTTCAACTTGTACCCATTATCCCTTGTCCTATCACGGGCCACCACCAAGAAGAGTTTGGCCCCATCCTCCCTACATCCTCCCCTCGGGTACTTGTACATATTGATCAGATCTCTCAGTCTTCTCTTCTCTAGGCTAAACAGGCCCAGCTCGCTTAGTCTTTGATCGTATGATGGATGCTCCAGGCCCTTAATCATCTTTGTTGCTCTGTGCTGGACCCTCTCTAGAAGCTCCATGTACTGGGGAGCCCAGAACTGCCCCCAATACTCCAGCTGCGACCTCCCCAGAGCTGAGTAGAGGGGCAGGATCCCCTCCCTCAACTAGAGGGGCAGGATCCCTTCCCTCGACCTGCTGGCAACGCTCCTCCTGATGCAGGCCAGGATCCCATTGGCCTTCTTGGCCACGAGGGCCCATTGCTGCCTCATGGTTAACTTGTTGTCAGCCAGGACTCCCAAATCCCTCTCCACAGAACTGCTTTCCAGCAGGTCAACCCCTAATCTGTACTGCTGCCTGGGGTTATTCCTCCCCAGGTGCAGGACCCTGCACTTGCCCTTGTTGAACCTCATGAGGTTCTTTTCTGCCCAACTCTCCACCCTGTCTATGTCTCTCTGAATGGGAGAACAGCCCTCTGGAGTGTCAGCCACTCCTCCCAGGTTGGTGTCATCTGCAAACTTGCTTTTTCCCATCATCCAAGTCATTGATGGACGAGTTGAACAGCACTGGGCCCAGTACTGACCCCTGGGGGACACCACTGGCCACAGGTCTCCACCTGGACTCAGCCCCATTTATCATCACCCTCTGGGCTCTGCCAGCCAGCCAGTTCTCAATCCACCTCACCATCCACTCATCTAACCCATCTAAAGCTCGCCTGTGAGGATGTTATGGGAGACTGTGTCGAAAGCCTTACTGAAGTCAAGGTAGACAATATCCATGGCTCTCCCATCGTCCAGCCAGCCAGTCATCCCATCATAGAAGGCTATCAGGTTTGTCAAACACGACTTCCCCTTGGTGAATCCGTGCTGGTTACTCCTTCTTTTCCTTGCCATGCCTAGAGTTGGTCTCTAGGATGAGCTGCTCCGAGCTGCTCCATCACCTTTCCAGGGGTGGATCCCTGGTATCCTTCAAACTCATTGGCAGCTGTCTTCAGTATAAGGTGTTGATCTTTACAGTAGAG